CTCACGGCTTCAGAGTCCTTGTTAATCGTGGATCTTGTACTAAAAGCTGCCAGAAGGGAAAAGGGAAGAGAGTTTTATTCTTTGGGCAGGTCGGGTAGTAGTGTTTTATACACATTGTCCTATTCGTCGAGTCTTGCGTGAGAGAAACAAAGAAAATTCTATGTTTTGTTTAAACTACCAGCATTGGGCTTAGGAGAAGCTCATGAAACCAGCCTCTACTAAACCGGTTTACAGGATTAGCCCTCTGTGATGATTCTGTGTCCAGATTAAACATGATATCTGGGTGAGTCTGTGAGGGTGTTTCCAGATGAGATTAGTGTTGGAAGCGGGAGACTCAGTAAAGAGGACAGCTCTCCCCAGCGTGGGTGGGTAGCATCCAATCCATGGAGGGACTGAGCAGAAAAAGAAGCAGGGGAAGGGAGGGTTGTCCCCTGCCTGCCATCCGCCCTTCCTGCCTGCTGTTGAGCTGGGACATCTGTCTTCTGCACTGGGACTGGGAGTTACAGCATCGGCTCCCCCTGGTTCTCAGGCCTTCAGACTGGGACTGAATGGCACCACTGGCTTTCCTGGGTCTCTGGCTTGCTGACAGTAGATCGTGGGATTTCTCAAACTTCACCATCGTGTAAGCCAAAGTTTCCTTTCGTGTATGTGTATATGTATATATCTTTAATTGGTTCTGTTTTCTCTGGGGAACCCTGACCGGCACACCACCTCTCTGTGAAACTGTAACTGAGCAGGACCCTATGGGGTCTTTCTGGGACAGACACCCTCCCCCATATCCTCTGATTTAGCTCCTCTCTGAAGTACCCAGATAATAGTATCTCATGCATATTTCCTGAGTTTTTCAGATGCTAAAAACCACCACCAAATGGAAGAAATTAACTACTTGATGGTCTTGTAGCCCCCAGACCTACTGGCGCCTAAGGACTGACAATGCTAACCCCTGTGACACTGCCCTGTTACCTCAACATCAACCAGTCAGAGAATTGTGCACGAGCTGATCACCAAACCTGCCACTGCCCGCCCCCCAACCTTGTCTTTAAAAATGCTTTGCTGAAATCCTTCAGGGAGCTGAGGGGGTTTTGGGGGGCATGGGCCACCCATTCTCCTTACCTGGCCCTGCAATAAAACCTTTCTCTGCTCCAAACTCTGACGTTTCGGTTTGTTTGGCCTCACTGTGCTGACTTGTGTTGGGTAGCAAAACCAGCTGATGACTCCTCAGTTCGGCTAGGTGGCCACATTCTAATGTGCCCACCCATCTGCATCTCTTGTTGAGTTACAGGCTGATGAAGGATCACTTAGATTTGTTCCTAAATCTGTTTTTTCTCATTGAACTTGGTATTGTAATTACCTAATTTGATGACATCATGTAACTTGATGAAATAGGAAGGTGAAAATGCATTTTTATTATAGTTTGATTAAAGTAAATTCAATGTCTTCTTGATATTCAGTGAAATGAGCGCCTAAAAATGTCATCTAAACGTGGGCAAGTCAAATGTTAGAAAAAGTGTGGTAAGAATCTGGGATTTTGGATTCAGCTTGTTTCAAAGTGTTTTGAGTTCAGGCTCTAGTTTCAAGAGACCCAAATTGCAAACCATAAGCAATGCATTAGGTTTATGCAAGAAAGAGAACGTAGAACTCCTATCAGGAGGCCTACACTTAAAGAAAAGATCTTCATCTGTCGTTGAAGAAATAGAAATATGTTCTTTTTGTTTTAGGTTAAGTTAAAATAATAGTCTTTGATGACTGGGATGTTAGGTAATGGGGATTCTGCTGAGCACATCTTACAACACAGATAGAGTGGTCCCCTGCCCGTCCATTCACAAGCTGCCTCTCCCAGTTTACACAGCCAACCCATTTCTTTTCCTCAAGGGTGTTGGGGCTTTTGGGGATCACCACCCCCAGAAAACACCCCGAGGCCGCTGGGTCCAGCCTGGAGGTCGCAGCCCAGCCCACCTCAGGCCATAGGGAGGGATCCGCAGGGGGCATGTCCACGAGCGCACTGACATAATGTGAGCTCTTCTTTCCAAACTGCCTCCTTTTCATCTGACTTCTTGCCTGTTTGCCTGCCTACAAAAAAATTGTGTTGCATTCCAGGCACACAGAAAAGGGAATGCGGATTTTACAACATTAATTGTATTGCCCTCTCTGTGCTCTTATTATGTTTTTATTCCAATGTTTCTTTCAGTTTACAAGAGGTGGAATTCTACCTAGGGGTCAGCAGACTTTCTCCATAAAGGGCCAGATAGTAAATCTTTTAAGGTTTGTGGGTAGAGAGAATCTTTGTAGCAACAACTCACTCTGCTGCTGTCACTGCAAAGCTGCCATAGAGGGTATAGAAGTGAATGGGTCTGGCTGTGTGCCAATAAAACTTTATTTAAAAAACAGTCAGTGGGCTGGATTTGGCTTATGGACTGAACCCTGTGTCTACAGTAAGAGTTCTTAACTGAGTGAGGCATTGGTAAAACCTGTGAAAGTGTATGCAGATTTGGGGCATGTATTTTTCTAGACAGAGGAACTGTAGTTTTCTTTGGATTTCAAAGGCATTTTGATCACTAACTTTAAGAAACATTTCTATAGAGAAATGGCCTCTTCTGGGTCCCCCTAGGATTTAATTTTTTTAAATATTGTACTTTTATTCATTTATTTTCAAAAATTTTATTTTGAAATAACTATAGATTTACAGGAAGTTGCAAAGATAGTACAGAGAGGTCCTGGGTCCCCTGCACCTAATTTGCCCCAATGGTTACATCTTACATAATTAAAGTATAATATCAAAACCAGGAAATTGACATTGATGTAGTGTGTGAACAGGGATCTATGCCATTTTATCACTCTTGTAGGTTTAGGTAACCACTACTGTAATTAACCACTAATCTGTTTTCCATCTCAATAGTTTTTCTTTGAGATTGGCTTTTATATCCATTCAAGTTGTCCGTGTATTGTTGCTTTGTTGCTTTTCTTGTTGAGGAGTATTCCTTGGTATGAGGGGCATTTTGGTCATTTCCAGATTTCGTCTACTATAGATAAAAACTGCAATGAACAATTGTGTATGGAATTTTGTGTGGATATATGATTTCCTTTCTCTGGGATAAATGCCCAGGAGTCCAATTGCTGGGTGATATTGTGAGTTCATGTTTAGTTTTTTTAAGAAACTGCTGAACTATTTTCCAGAGTTAATCATTTATTTTTAAAAACAGCATGAACATGCCATGGACATGCACATGAAAACATAAAAGTGCAAGAATTACAGAAAAATCTAAAATCTTTCCTTGTGCACTGCCCAGTCCCATTCCTCCTCCCGCTAGATCATTAGTAGATGTACATCCGATCATTCCTACATTATTATTCCAAAACTCACCTTTGCCCTTCATCATGGAGGTCCTTCTATGGAGTAGATATACATCTTTTTCATTCCTTTTTAACCGTGAAGTCGATATACCATATTTATTTAAGCGTTCCTCATATTTAAGGACTTTGGTTATTTCCAGCTTTTGCTGTCATTAACAAATGATGCAATGAATACCTCTGAGCTGCATCTGTGTACACATTTGTTTCTCAGAGATAGATACCTATAGGGGTGAAATTGTTGGGTCACAGACATGTGCATTTCTACTATTGATGGACACTGCCAAATTGCTTCCCTAAAGGTGCCAATCAATACTCCTGCCAGCAATGCATGAAAGTTTCTTCATATACTCATCCATACTTGATATTTCCAATTTTATTAAGTTTTATTAATTTTATTAATTAATCTGATGAGTGAAAAATATTTCACTGTTATTTGTATTTCCCTGACTAACAGTGAGGATGCACATCTTTTTTGATATAACTTAACCATTTTTTTGAAGTTTTATTTTATTTTTTATTTTTATTCATTCATTTATTTATTTTTGGTTGCATTGGGTCTTCCTTTCTGCGCATGGGCTTTCTCTAGTTGTGTCAAGCAAGGGCTGCTCTTTGTTGTGAAGCACGGGCTCTAGGTGCATGGGCTTCAGTAGTTATGGCACGTGGGCTCAGTAGTTGTGGCTTGCGGGCTCTAGAGGGCAGGCTCAGTAGTTGTGGCACACGGGCTTAGTTGCTCCGCAGCATGTGGGATCTTCCCAGACCAGGGGTCAAACCCTCGTCTCCTGCACTGACAGGTGGATTCTTAACCAGTGCACCACCAGGGAAGTCCCTAACTTAACCATTTTTTAATGCTACTTCTATGAATAACTTTGTATTCTTGGACCATTATTTTTTTCTAATGGTCTGTCTAAAGGATTGTCTTTTCTTTATTGATTTTTAGTAGCTCTTTATTTCTTTTGGATATTAGCCCTTTGAATATTTTATATATGTGGCAAATATGTTCCCAAACCCATCACTCATCCATTAAATTTATTTTTGGGGTGTGTGTTATATAGCTAGCCTCATTGAATTTAGCCTTGTTTTGTGTAGTCACATTGATCAATCAATCATTCACTTTATGGCTCTTGGATTCTGTTCTTGCCTAAGAAGTCCAACTTATTTCAAATTATGGAAATAACTCTCTTATATCTTTTCTCATGTTGGTCTGCTAACTGCTGGGACTAATGCTAGATGCTCTGGCCAGCACACTAAATCTAGAATCTTGGCTTAGATCACTCATGTCAATAAATTTGACCCGATCCATGATTATGTTTCATCCTCCTGGGCCTAGTACCATTACAATTCATTCCTAAACTCTTAGCCAGATTTCTGCTGATATAAGTTACAAAATCTTGACATTCTTTTCATGTGTAAGCTATCTCTTTCTTAGACAGACTTTTTACTTCTCCCCTTGGGACATTCTAGCATCTACCTTGGAAATATCTGGTCCAGTGGAGTACAGGCATTCCCTCTTAGGGTACCTACGTAAGATGAGGTCATTGAAAGTGTTCAAGCAAGGGAAGATTGCGGGACCTCGTCCCATAGGCAGATTTTATACAGCAGCACAGCAAACTCCATTTGGTTATTGATCGAAGTCAGCAGTGTTCAAAGAGAAGTAGGGTTGAGTTGTATGGGCTTCGTGATGAGAGTGGAAATCTCTGACTCTGGCCTTGTTTAATCGAAGCAAACCAGAGCAGCTCTCTCTTCTTAGTTTAGTGGAGTGTCTAGCTTCTTGACTTGGAGGTAAATTACCTTTTCTTTGTTTTTTCTTGGTCTGCAATAATAAAACAAAAATGGAGAGGGGGAAAGAGATTATGAGGAACTGAAAACCAAAATAAAGTGGATAATAGATAAATGGAGCAAAAAGTGGGTATAAGCTTTGTCCAGGATCAGCCTTGCAGAGAGTTCCCAGTGGTGATGCTCAAAAAGAAAATGGACAGAGCGTGGTGAATAGGTAACGTGGATGGAGTCACACCTAAAAGTCTCTCCCAGCAGTGGGACTGGCCTACATCCCTTATTTAAGGTGTTTCACCCCTCTCCATAATAGAGAACGTGGTAAATGTCTACATTTAATTTTCTATCAATTAAAAATGATGACTGCAAAATATAGACACTGTTATCATCAGTTCTGCAAATAAGACTTGAGAAATTATTTTTATCAAAGTTTATTTACTTTTCATTCAAAGTAAATAAGTAAAAAACCAATTCAAAAACGTGTTCAAATCTCAACTTCTCTCAGTCATCTTGTCCTTATGAACACCAGGATGTTGCTGATACTCAGGGCAGAAATGCTGCTTTCTTCATTGTGCTGTTCCCAGCCAAGCCCTCTTGACATGTTTCTGTTGATAATACTGAAATCTGGCGTGGGGCTGCTCCTGGGGCGCAGCTCCTCACAGAATCCCCCTGACTTGGAGGGGCTTAGTCTTGCCTCAGCCTCTGGACCCATCTGAGACGTGGAGAGGAGCAGAAGCTCACCCAAATCACTGGTCCTCTCAGACTCCAGATGCAGGGGCCCATGCTCATCAGCCAAGCTCCCAGGGTCTCCATGTCAACAGCAGCAGCAGCAACAGCAACAGCAGCAGCAGCAGCAGCAGCAGCAACAACAGCAGCAACAGCAGCAGCAGCAGCAACAACAGCAGCAACAACAGCAGCAACAGCAGCAGCAGCAATAGCAACAACAGCAGCAACAGCAGCAGCAACAGCAGCAACAGCAGCAGCAGCAACAACAGCAGCAGCAGCAGCAACAGCAGCAACAGCAGCAGCAGCAGCAGCAACAGCAACAACAGCAACAACAGCAGCAGCAGCAGCAGCAACAGCAGCAACAACAACAGCAACAACAGCAGCAGCAGCAACAACAGCAGCAGCAGCAGCAACAACAGCAGCAGCAGCAGCAGCAGCAGCAGCAGCAGCCACCACAGTGACTGGTACCTGAACACAGCTCAGCACGGGCACCTTGGGTGAACCCAGCCCTCTGAGGTGAGGCATGTCCATGAGCCCTGGCCCTGGGCTTCCAGAACGAGAACTTTTGCTTTGTCACTTACTGACTTTGGGCAAATCTCTCTTGCCCTGTTGTGTTTTCCTGTTGTCAAATGGGGTTAATAATACTACCTATTGCATAGGTTGTTGCAAGGATTAAATAAGGTGATGCATGAAAAGGGCTTGCAAAGCACTAGTGAAAGCTCTTAGGACATGTTAGCTGCTGTGACCCCATTTTACAGAAAAGGAAACAGGCTGCAGTGGTGAAATGAGGTGTATGTTAGTAAGCCAGAAAGTTCTCTTTGTACCTTGGATGGGCTCAGGGACCGAATGACTTGGGTGGTAGTGGGGCTCTTGCCCTTCCTGTTCTCTCTGCTCTCGCTCAGTGTCTGGGATGGTGTGCCTGGGTCGATTTTCCTGAGCTAGGAGGCTGCCTGACCCCAGGGGCCAACTGCGGTCAGGCGCCCCCTCCTGGCCGCCTCTGCCCCCTGCAGGCTGCCCCTCCTCACCTTTCGCTGCAGGGGAGTCTCTGCCCACCTCTGCCTCAGTCCCCATCTTCTCACAAAGAAGCCCCGAGTCTTACAGGTCTGTCTTCTATCTTTGAAAAGTGAACTGGGTTATATGTGATACAGAAAATAGGAAAGTGCAAATCTTCACAGAGGTATCTGTAGGTCACATAATCAGCGAGAATATAAAATAACAACACGAATAATCTTTTAAAATATCTCTTTAGCCTATTCTGAACCAGCCTGATGAAAATGGAAAGCTCTTTCAAGTATAGGTGTAAGTGTATATCACTGAGCTGCACTTCCCTATCTCAAAAACCATTCGGCATGTATTTAAAAATTTGATTTCCAATAAATCATCTGGGTACATATTCTCCTGTTTTATAGAACAGCTATGAAAACTTCTATGAATACTCCCGGTGGTTACTGGACATTTACTAAGGGCCAGGCTCTTTACATGTATTACCTCATTTAATCATTACAAAAATCCAATGAGTAGGAACAGTTGTGCCCATTTACAGAAGAAAAACGGAGGCCTAGAGGAGTTAAGGCCACGCGATAGGAAATGTGAGGACCTATAACCCAGCAGGACCCTATGAGGCCTTCCCAGAATAGACTCCCACCCATGTCCTCTGCCTGCCTTTTGTCTGTAGAAAAACTTTAGGCAAAGAATAAATTTAATCAGACAAGTGAGAAAATGCAGAAAGAAAGGAACACAGTCAAGCAAGAAAAAATAATAATACGTTCGCCAGTAACCAAAGTCAAGGACATTTATTTCTTCCCTAAGGACTACAGATAATATCCCGAGCCACGTCCTTTGAGCTGTTTTGCAGATACTGAAACCCCCACCAGGTGGAAGAAGTGAACTGAATGCTGCCCACAAGCACGGAGACCCCAGACCGGCTGGAACTGGCAGGTTGATGATGCTGACTTCCGATTACCTCACCATCAACCAATCAGAATGGTTGGAGTCTTTTATTGAATGACATGCCATTCCATGAGCTGATCACACACCCCATAAAACTCCCACCCTCACCCTGTCTTTATAAACTTTTCCCTGAAAGCCTTTGGGGAGTTCGGGTCTTTTAAGCGCCAGCTGCCCTGGTCCTAGCCTCTGAGATTCAGTTTGGTGTCGGTGCACAGAGGCCAGGTTTCGGCATCAGACCTGGCCTGTTCCTCGCCATCACATGTTACTGCCTTCCTGACGCTGGAGCTGGCTGGGAAAAGCCTGGGGGAACGTCACTTAGGGATATGCTATAGAAGGAGCTCTCCATTTATTCCACACATATTTGGTGAGCACCTGCTCTGTGTGTGCCAGGTTCTGTGCTTACCTCTAGGGACACGGCCGTAAATGGGGTAGAGTCTCTGTCCTCAAGGGGAGGCACTCGTGTGCATGGCAAACTGCACTGAGATGGGGTCTATGGGGGCTGGTTGATCAAGGTCAAGGATCTCAAACTCAAATGTCTACACTCGCCAGGTGGAAAACAGAAGTGTCCTAGGCACAGGATGTAGGGAATGCGGGTCTGTGGCCGACTCCAGTGAGCATGCCCTTCTATGAGCTGAGCCGCCACCACTCAGGTCCTGCGAATTGTCAACAGGAGGAAATGCCTGTTCAGTGTTACCCCATCCTCTGATTTTTAAAAAACATCCTGGAAATTCAGTTTATGTGGATTTCCCACTTTAATATGGGGGCCAAGCAAAGCTCTTGAGACCCTTGTATCCTGTGGGCTGTCAGTGCATGACATCTGGCTGAATTCAAAGCCTCTTCCAAGTTCTAGGGAAAGCCTCAGACCACTGTGATTCTTCTGCTCTGACCTTTCCCAAGTGCTTAATTTGCGAAATGTGAAGGGTTTGTAGCATGGATACAATTCAGTTCAGTTCATGGTGCCAAAAATGGAATATGGTTAAAATAAACAGTAATATCTAAGCATATCATGTAAACAGATTCATGGGGAATGTGTCATATGTGATTCTCTTTATTTAGATTTGTTAAGGTTACTTTTTAAATAGATTCATATGTATCCAGAAAGTACATAAAGTAATACACTGAAAAGTCTCCCTCCTACTGATATCCCATAGCCTCCCAATTCCAGAGACAATCAATGATATGCATATTCTTCCAGAGATACAAGTAAATTGTATATATATTTAATATATATGTTTTTTGCTCTTTGTACACAAATGATAGACTCTATACTTTTCTATGTTTTACTTTTCTTTCATTAATAATACCCGTAGGAGAATTTCCTTATCAGTGTATATCAAGCTGCCTCATTCTTCTTGATGACTAGGGAGTATTTTATTGACCAACATACCATAATTTATCTAACTGGTCTCCCAATCGGTGGGCATTGAAAGTTCCCAATCTTTCATTACATAAAAAATATTGCTTGAATGAATAATCCTGTGCATACACCATTTTGCACATGTAAATTCCTAGAAGCGTGGAATTGCTAGGTAAAAAGATAAGCACATTTGTAATTTTGATACTATTGCTATATTGCCCATCGTAGAGATTTTAAATCTGACTCCTACTGGCGATGTAGGATACTGCCTATTTCCCCACATCCTTTCCCAACATTGTACAGCTGAGCCTTGAACAGCACGAGTTTGAACTGCACGGGTCTGCTTATGTGGTCCACTTTCAATAAATATATTGGAAATTTTTTTGGCATTTTGTGATGATTTGAAAAAGCTCTCAGATGAACCATGTAGCCTAGAAATATTGAAAAAATTAAGACAAAGTTAAGCATGTCATGAATGCATAAAGTATATGTAGACATTAGTCTATCCTTACATAGGCATAAGGTGAGTGATATTTAATATAAAATTAAAGTGTTCATTTTCTGTGTTATAATTTTGGTTTCAAAGAATTACATTATCGTACGATACGCCTTTCTCGCTCGTATTGGAGAAACTGTGTATCAGCCTATCATCGCAGGTGAGTGGTGTTTTAAAAAGTGTAACAATGTTTCCAATACTGCATTATGAATATGACTGTAATACTGTGTGACATAAACATTTTATATCAATTCATTCAGTAGCGCATAGGCTAGGCTGCCATGAACCAATTGTATTATCCGTTACACTAGGCGACCATGAAGCAATCATGTTTCTGCTTCTTCATTTTCAATGCTTGAGTCACTATATCTGTTAATAAATATGGACTTCTTTTTTGCATTATATTTTCATTTTTGATGTCTAGTGTTAGGAATACATATAACGTCTACAGTGTTTTGTATCATATAAGACAATGTTAATGTAGGTGCTGACAATTTGTCTATAAACAGACGATATAAGCTTACAGTATCGATAAATACAGTATAGTACTGTAAGTGTATTTTCTCTTCCCTTTGATTTTCTTCATAATATTTTCTTTTCTCTAGCTTACTTTATTGTAAGAATACAGTATGTAATACATATAACATACAAAATATGTGTTGATCAACTATTTATGTTATCCATAAGCTTCTGGTCAACAGCAGGTTATTAGCAGTTAAGGTTTGGGGGAGTTGAAAGTTACATGTGGAATTTAACTGCACAGGGTGTTGGCAGCCCTAGCCCCTGCATTGTTCAAGGGTCACCTGTACGTTGCCAAGCAGTTTGATCTTTAACAACCTCAGTGGCTATTACTGCGGTGTTACTTTGCACTTCTCTTATTATGAAAGAGATTTGGCATATGTTAATATATTTTGGAACTGTTTTTTTCTTTCTTTCACTAAATTGTCTGTTCAAGTCCTTTGCCCATTTTTTCTGTTGAGGAGTTGCTCTTATGGATTTGTTAGTCCTCTTTATATATTTGGAAAATTAGCCCTTCATGAAGGAGTGAATATTTTCTCTAAGCTTGCTATTTCTTTTAAGTTTATGGTAGTTTTTCAACATAGAATTTTAAATTTTTATGAAGGCAAACTCTTTTTAATGGGTCCTGGATATTTGTGGTCAAATTTTAAAGACCTCCCTCACTATGAAAGGCTAAAAGGTATTCTCCCATAGTATCTCCATTCTTTTAGTGTTTCCTTTTTGGTGCATTTTAGTCTCTGATTTCATGTGAATTGATCTCAGTGTACGGTGTGAGGCATAGGTTCAACCTCATCTTTTTTTACAACTGGCTCCAGAGTTTTCCCAAAAGCTGTATTGAATAGTTAGTTCATTTAGGAATCCCAGCTCCCTACCTCTGCATGTTTTCAGCTTCTTCAGTGGTCTCAGGCAAAGTCTTCCCTTTGGTCTCTGGGAGCAATAACACCAGTCCTCCAGCAATCAGGCCAACTGCAGCTGAAAACCAACAGACACAAATCACATTCAGAACTGACCCATGCTGGCTCTATAATGAAAGCTCTCCTTATTTCTTAAAAAAAAAGTTTGTCTTTTTTTGCTGATTTCCTATACTTAACAGATTCCTTTGCTATCTCTGACTGCCCTATTCCCCATCATAAATATTTTGTCCATTCCAAACTCTGCTGGATTGCAATTCCTTATAGGGAAATGAAATACTTAACATTTTGAGTCAAGGTTATTCTAGGCTAGAGGAAACTGCCATGACATTAAGATACTCTGGAGTCAGAAAATAACTCTGAAAAATAACCAATGCTAAGAAAAGAAAGAATATAGCTCTGCCAATATAAAGCACTCAGTAATGAAAATGAGTCAGAAACTTGGATCATTACTAGCAAATAAAAGTAATGAATCACGCATTATTTCATAACAGCATTAAATAGTATAGCCAGGCCTTTTATTGGATTTTTATTTATTTATTTTTGCTTTTTATTTTTTTAAATTGAAGTATAGTTGATGTACAATGTTGTGTTAGTTTCAGGTGTGCAGCAAAGTGACTCATATATATATATATATATGGATATATATATATATATATATATATATATATATGGATATATATATATATAGTCTTTTTCAGATAGCTAGGCCTTTCTGTTCTGATTCAGGTATTGGATAAATTTCTCTTATTCCTTTTTTCCTTTGTCTCCAGCTGTAATTTTTTGCAGATGTTGGTGTTTTTGTTTCTCTAAATTCCCATTAAGATTTTAGGATTTACGGTTACATCTTTATATATTTTTCCATCGTTGAATGCAGGAAGTAGGATGTGGGTTCTTCGCTAGCTGGGGTGTTTCAAAAAATGCCTGCTGGACTCCACTTTTTGCACGCTTAAAACTGGCAGAAATACAGGCCTCCAGTGTGCAGTGGTTCAGGGCACCGGCTGTAGCTCTGAGCACCTGGGTCTAGTACTGACACCCCGAGTACTGGTCTCAGAGCCCTGAGAAGTTCTATGATCCCCCTGATACTACAGACTCCCTGACAGAAAGTGGGGTGGTATCTCCACCACAAAGGCTTGTTTAGAGGCTGAAATGAATTCATATTTGTTAAGTGCTTAGAAGAGTGCCTGGCACATGGCACGAACTAAATAGTTAACCTCTCAAGATCTCCCCAAACCTCAAGAGATTCACTTGGTTGTAACTCATGCAAACAAGAGACATATTCAGCTGGCTTCGATTCTCTGAAGTGAGTGAACTGTGAATAATGTATTAGATAATCAAATTATCATCCATTTAGTACTTTATATTTGCAAAAATAGGCCTAATTAACTAGGATATCACTTATCAATTTTTCCAGTGCTCTTTCAACCAGGATTTTCCAATGTGTTTATTTGTTGGTTTTCAGGCTTCTAGATGACCATTTCTGGCTATTTCAAGAGCACAACTGGCACACCATTATTGTGTGAAAAGAGAAAGAAAATGTGTAAATCTGTTAGTTTTGCTTCCTGCTAGCTATTAAAGGTTGGTGAGAGAAGGAAACTGCCAGCAAAATAAAATTGGGAATTGTCTTTGAGTTTTTACTTCAATGTTGAAATGCAATTAAAATCCTTTATCTTTAGATGGAAAGGCAAGGTCCGAGGGAGGGTCTGGGTATGGGGGGATCCTCTGGGTCTGGACTTAGCAATTTTTCGGTTAAATGGTACTAAGAGAAACAAAATAGATACTAATGAAGTATCTATTTTCTACCCAGAAATGTCCCGCTGACCCACGTATCACTCACTGCCCACCTAAGGGAGTGCGCAAGATTGAGATGGAAGGAAGGATCCAGAGAGTGTGAGGGAGCTTCCCCAGGATGGAAAGGGGGCTCTGGGCTCAGGTCCCTTGGCCAGAGCTGGGGGAGGAAAGAGTCTGGGGCATGTGCTTCCCAGCAGGGCCAGCCACGCTGGTCATCTCAGAATAAAGAGCTCGTGTTCTATCAACCTGGGCCATCCTGTTATTAAGTTGGAATGCGGAGACATTCACTGGGTCTCTTTCAAGGGTGAGTTCTAGCAAAGGTTTGGAGCTTTCGCTGGCAGATCTACGGCAGTAGAAAATTTTCCCTTCACAAATCCCTTGAGAAGAAGGGAATGAGCAGAGACACTTGTGTGTGACAACGCATGGCACTAAGGAGAACCATCCGCTATCCCCCTGCTGTGCATCTGAGCTGGGCTTTCCCTTCCTCCCCCCAGATTAAGTCTTGTATGCCCATGGGGAAGAGTGTTACATTTCTGTCAAATTAAAAGAAAGACTCAGGGACTTCACTGGTGGCGCAGTGGTTAAGAATCCACCTGCCAATGCAGGGAACACGGGTTCGAGCCCTGGTCCGGGAAGATCCCACATGTCGCGGAGCAACTAAGCCCGTGCGCCACAACTACTAAGCCCACGTGCCACAACTACTGAAGCCCGCACACCTAGAGCCCGTGCTCCGCAACGGGAGAAGCCACCGCAATGAGAAGCCCGCGCACCGCAACGAAGAGTAGCCCCGGCTCGCCGCAACTAGAGAAAGCCTGCCTGCAGCAACGAAGACCCAGCGCGGCCAAAATTAAGTAAATAAATAAATAAAGACTCAGAATGCGTCTGAAAGAAGATTGAAATGTGTCCATCGAGACCTTGGGGCTAACACTGACAAGGTGAGTGTTAACGTGTATGGCTCTGGAGCGGTGTCTGCATGGACGCACAGAAGGAGAGGACCTGTCCCTCCGTCTACCGCTGTGGGGAAAGACAATGGGAACGCCCAGGATTCCCAGCCCCTTTCACGGTCTCCAGACTCGCGTTCAGCATGTGCTGATAATTAGGTTTGTCCCTCCCCTTCTCTCCTGTGGGCTGGTCAGGGAGAGGCAGGCTCAGTGTCTGTACATCCTTCAGGGTCAGAGGGAAGAGCTGTGCCCATGCTCCTTAAATCTAATTGCCAAGGAATCTGAGGACCGGGGTGCCCAGCACGCACACAGGTGTTCCTGTTATTCTAACGCATTTTCTTGGTCTTTGTTTCCCCTGGGTTTTGAAATTGCCCTTTGCGAAATTTTAACCGCCTTTTTTGAAGTAACGTAGTAAAACCGTTTGTATTTTTCTACATCTGGGCATAGAGGAGGCAGAAAGAAAGAGTGAGCTCTTGGACAAAGGGGTGGAAATCAGTGAGGACAGAAGGGTCTTCTTCAGGGGAAACTCCACCTCACTCTCCCTTGACTTTGCACCTCTATGGGCATAAGTCCTCATGGGCTCCCAGACTTGAGTGTTGGCAGCTGCTAATACTATTAGTAATACTAGTGTTACTATGCTACTGGTAGTACCAATTACTGGTCATACTTAGTAGTTACTTGCAAACATAGCACTTGTTTCGAGGTAGAAACATGGAGGCGTCTTAAAAATAGGTTTTCATTCAAAGACATCTCGGAGGATTTCTTACCAAAAACCACCAGTGGAAGCTCATGCCAGATGCTGGTGAGCCGGTAGACCAGGAACGGCGTGATGATGCCCCCGATGTCACACATGGAAGAGCAGACAAGGACCCCAAGGTTCCTGAAACACAGGACACTGATGCATCCTTGGACTTATCAAAGGACAGTGGTTATCTCCCACCCACCCCCAGATAAATACTTCCGCAAATCATTAAAATGTGTGTGTGAACTGAAAGTCTACATGTGATTGTCAATGCACATAAATGATACATGGTACATAATTCCATTCATATTCTGTTGTACTGGTTTTATATGAACTTTCTTGAAGATTTTTAATTAGTGTTGGGGACAATTTTCATGTTTTACTTTCATCACTGTCTCCCCAGCTCTGTTCTATGCTCCTGCTTGGGCTACTCTGCCTCCTGTTGACATTTGGTCATCCCTCTCTGGCAATTCAATAGCTTCTGTTCTCATCACATGGTTTCTGTGTTTTACCCTATCCTGTAAGCATGAGGTGTGACCTGCATACTGCCTTGAAATGGTGTCAACCTCTCTTACCCTGCATTTTGAAAGGTAAGCTGCCTCCCTAGAGATGATCATACTAAGTAAGTCAGAAAGAGGAAGATAAATACCATATGACACCACTTATACGTGGAATCTAAAATACGACACAAATCAACTTATCTACAAAACACAAAAAGACTCGCAGACATAGAGAACAGACTTGTAGTTGCCAAGGGGGAGGGGGTGGCAGGAGAGGGCTGGATTGGGAGTTTGGGATTAGCAGATGCAAGCTAGTATATATAGGATGGAGAAACAACAAGGTCCTACTGTACAGCACAGGGACACAGGGAACTAGATTCAATATCCTGTGATAAACCATAAAGGAAAAGAATATGAAAAAGAATGTGTGTGTGTATATATATAATGACTGAATCACTTTGTTGTACAGCAGAAGTTAACACAACATTGTAAATCGACTAGACTTCAATAAAATAAATTGAAGAAAAAAGTACGGTGTCCTCTGCCGGCACCTGTGGTCGTTCTCACCAGTAAACAAATGTCCCAGCTGCTTTCTTCATGCTGAAGGAAATGAATGTGCTCACCTGATGCGTGTGGGGTACAGTTCCGCATTGACCAGGCAGACCATTTCATAGGCCATTGTAATCCCCATTCTACCCAAGCATACGACGGTAACTCTTAGCCAGCGTAGATCTGAAGGGGAAAACACACGGCTGACACATGCTGCGCTCACTCCCTGGTCTCCCAACAGTGCCCCAGGGGCGTTTGCAAGGAGAAAGTGCACACCCTCCAGAATGGGACAAGAATGCACAGTCGGTTGTTTTACAGACTCAGGACAATTCAGCAAAAGCCCCCATGTCTTTTTGTTTTAGCCTCAGACACAACTCTGATGCTCTCTTCACTTTAGACCCCAGTCATTAATGACAACACAATTATACCAGCTTCCAAAGTTGCACCAACTTTAGTCTATAGAAGTCACCTGAAAGGAATAGCGTACACCCCCCAAAAATAGCATTTTTCTCTCTGTGGTCTTCTAATCCCTGCTCTGGGCCAGCTCGATGGCCTGTGGCATGGGTCCTCCTAGCCTCTCTTGTTATATTACATCAAAGAACCACTGGGTGTTATTATATTACATCAGGCAACCACTGGGTGCCACTGTTCTTAAAGGCAGAGTTGCCATATGGCTTCACTCAGGAAGGCCCCAGATATTTTGTTCATTCTTTCCAAATTGACTTGGATGTTAAATGACATGGTCTTTCTTTCAAAGGGCTGTAATACCCCCTCTTCTCAGGGCCTTGGAAGACAAGACCCCAGCTTGGCCCGACACTTACCCTCAGGGATAAAAACCGAGGCTAAACAGGCTGCCCCTGCCACCATATTTGATGCAGCCCATGGATGACGGCGACCCACGCGGTCAATTGTGACGAGGATGATAAAGGCGGCCGGGAATTCGACCAGGGCAGAGTAGAGGAAGACCAGGTAGATGTTGCTCCCAGCGAGGCCCGTGTACATGATGAGGCCCTGGTAGAGAACAGAGCTCGTGAACCTGAGCAAAGAGGAGAGCTCAGGTCAAGCCAGGCACCAGGAGCAGGTCCTTGAAAGGTTGATTGTAGATCACCTTTTTTTTTTTGTCCTCTTATTAGTGCTTTTCCCTCTATTCCATTGCTTTAACACCATCTGACCCACTGTGGGGGCTGGCTGTGGCCCCAGAACCAGGAGAGGGGAAGAATTAGGCTAACATTCCTTGACCAAATTGAAAGGCAAGAAGAAATGTCTTACTAGAGTGATTTATTTAGTAAACTCTATCAAGCTCTTAGTGGTTGTTAATTATTTTTCTCTTTGTGGCCTTCTAATGCAGTCGAAATCACAGGGATTGACTACTTAATCCAAATATTAGGAACCCAGGAGACCAAATGGGTACCAAATTCCCAAATGGGTACAGGCCCACTTTTGATGATTTATCTTCTGACGATACAGCAATATCTTGATCTAGTTCTGTTGCCTAAAAATGTTCGTTGTTTGTAACGGAAAATATGAGGATGATTAGCAAGAATCACAATTACTCAGAAAAAGAAAGGATAATGAAGCCAAATTTCCCTGAAGCATTTTACATGCAATACTGTGAAGGTTGCTAAATTAATTCCTGATGAGCTTTGCTTTTGTCAGTGACCGTGAAGCTTCCTTTAGCTGATGTGAGTCGTCCCAGGGATGCCGCCCGGTGAAGGGAAGCACGCTGCAGCAAAGGAGGCTGTTGCAGGGCCCACGGCACAGGGCTCTGGAGCAGCCTGCAGGCGGTGAGGACGGTCAGGCTTGCTATTGGATTGTGGAGCCAGTGGATTATTCCTGTGGTTTATTCTTTTTCTTTTTTTTAATTTTTGAATTTTGTTTTATTTTTTTATACAACAGGTTCTTATTAGTTATCCATTTTATACATATTAGTGTATATATGTCAATCCCAATCTCCCAATTCATCACACCACCACCACCCCCTGCCACTTTCCCCCCTTGATATCCATACATTTGTTCTCTACATCTGTGTCTCTATTTCTGCCCTGCAAACTGATTCATCTGTTCCTGTGGTTTATTCTTGTTCGGGAAGTTTACTTATTTATTTTCTCCAGGTAGAAAAGAAAAATAAAAGGCCTTGTACAATCAGGAGAGATGTACACTCATCATCAATTAATCTATACCACAAGGACCTACTGTACAGCACAGGGAACTGTACTCAATATTTTGTAATAACCTATAAGGGAAGAGAATCTGAAGGAGAATATATACACGTACATGTATATACACACACACACACACACACACACATATATATATATATCTGAATTGCTGTGCTGTACACCTGAAACTAACACGATATTGTAAATCAATTATACTTCAATTGAAAAAAATTAATCTATACCAATAGTTCTCAGTTTGGCTATATATTAGAATCACCTGGAGGATTTTGAAAGTATTGGTTCCTGGGCCCTTCCCTCGACCAATTAAATCCATATCCTTGTCGGGGAGGGGTCTGGCCTTGGCATTTTATTATCTCCCAGGTGATTCTTAAGGGAAAGCCAAGGTTGAGAATGTAGTGATCTATGCGTTGGGACTGTAAGCTGATTTCAACAACTGCCTGAGAAAAATGATTTCAGGAAAACCACCTATAAATGAGCCTACTTGCAATCCACTGTTGATGCTAACTAGACCCAGGTTATGTTTTTATTTTTATTTTTTTGCAGTACGTGGGCCTCTCACTGCTGTGGCCTCCCCCGCCGCGGAGCACAGGCTCCGGACGCGCAGGCTCAGCGGCCATGGCTCACGGGCCCAGCCGCTCTGCGGCAGGTGGGATCCTCCCAGACCGGGGCACGAACCCGCTTCCCCTGCATCGGCAGGGGGACTCTCAACCGCTGTGCCACCAGGGAAGCCCCCAGGCTATATTTTGAAGGTACTCTTGGTCCCTCCCTTTATGTGGCTGATTCAGATTAAAAGAATTTGGAGGGACAGTGGCCATGGCTCACGGGCCCAGCTGCTCCGCGGCATGTGCGATCCTCCCGGACCGGGGCACGAACCAGTGTCCCCTGCATTGGCAGGCGGACTCTCAACCACTGCGCCACCTGGGAAGCCCCTGGAGGGATTTTAAAGTGAAAAATAATCTTTACCAGTTGTACATCAAGATCAAAGTGTGTTTCCTTATCTGAGGGGTTCTGACCAAGTCAAGAAATGAAGGATTCAACTTCTCGCCAACTTCCTCATCAGATCCGAGGCTCTAAGAATAGAAAAAATAGGAACAGCTTTGTATATTTCATGATGGCGTCCCAGGGTCATCCAGGGAACGTAATGCCTTACACTTGCTGAGTGCTTTTAATGTGCCCAGGACTAGCTAAGCCCTTCACGCACATTAGCTTGTTTAATCATTACAACTACCCTACAAGTTAGGTCTACGTTTTTCACCCCATTTCACAGAAGAGGAAGCTGGGCTACAGAGAAGTGAGGTAACTCATGCACGTATATAAAGGGATACTGCTGGTAAAGCGGGTGGGGTAAAATCAAGGCCCAGCCCAGTGGCCCTGAGGGCTGAGGGCATTGACACGCCCTCTGTGCACACCTGGACCAGTGTGTGGCCCAAAGGTCAGGAGAGTGATCTGGGACCCTGGCACTCAGTCCAGCAACGGAATCGCCTGGAGCTAGTTAGAATGAAAGATCTCAGGCCCCAGCCCAGACAGATGGAACCTGAATCTGCATGTTCACAAGGTCCCCAGGTGATCCTGTGCACAGAATTGAGAAGCCCTACTCTAGATGACACAGTAGATGGTGGAGGGGACATTTCATCTCCAGGGTTCAGGAAGCAGAACCCTTGTGTGACCCACTCCCCTTTGTCTCCTTCCTGGAGCAACACGTGATGTTGTGTGAAAGACCCAGGAACGAGGGGAAGAAGTCTCCAGGAGCCCAGCAGTGACCAGACTTACCACCCTCACGTGAACTCTGACCTTGAGCGAGACAGTGACCCACGTGTGCCTTATTCCCTGGCCAGTTTCTGAGAGGATCTGAAATCCAAGAATCAGTGCTATGCCTGTCATTCTTGGCAAAAAATACATATTCCAAACACCCAGCAACCAGAGAGGAAATGAAGAAAAAAGAGCCCTGAGCCCCACAAATCCTCACTCTAAATGCCACGTCAATCTCAAATTCTTACAGGTCACTCATCTTAGAGCCTCATCAGAAATGACTTACTCTTATTTCAGTATAAATTCCTAATAAGCTTGATATTCTTTTTTCCAAGCCTTGTCAGATGAAAAGGTTTAAATTAAAGGTGATGAGGTCCGCTAAAGGCGAAACACTAAATGCAGAGAAAATGAACACTTCGGTAATTTGTTCTATTCAGGAAGGCAGGGGTTGCTTAAAATATTTTGGGATAATTTCTATCCCCAATTTAAAAAATTCTAAGAAATTATTTGTGTTTGAAGACTCTTCCCTCTGGGGAAAACCTCCCTCCCTGAGGATGTTGATGGACACACAGGCAAACAAGACTTTGAGTACCGGGGCCTAAGGGGCAACATGGTCGAGAGGTGAACAAGACAGAAGCTCCTCATTTGACTTTTAAAAGACTTTTGGCTTTTCCTTTAGTTTTGTTTTCCATCTGCTTAAAATATTCTACCGGGGAACCACAAATCTTAGTACAACAGAAATATCCTGTTGCACATGGTGGGTGGGCCGCTTCTGCCACTCCCCATTGAGACAATGCATGGTTTTCCCAAATCTTCCTTTTCACTGTTCCCTGATTTTATACTTCAGCTGCTGGCTCACCTGAAGAGAGGTAGGCAGAGATTTTCCATTTTTCTTTGCTATGTGCTTAATGATTTTCATGGCTTTAGCGTCTTTGTTCTGGGAGATCAGCCACCTAGGAGACTCAGGTACACACCTAGGGCACAGAAAAAGTGTCATCAATGCTGTTAAGTGGCGGGGAAAATCTTACTGAACACCCACCCCCAGGGGTCATAGCAGATTTCTGTGAGGGATCTTACACAGTGAGGTTTGGTTGGATCTACAAAGGATATAAAACTGTGCAGGGGCTACACAGCAAAGGGAACCATCAACAAAATGAAAAAGCAGCCTACTGAATGGGAGAGAATATTTGCAAACCATGTATCTGGTAGAGGGTTAATATCCAAAATATATAAAGAACTCATGCAATCCAATAGCAGAAAACCAAGCAATTCAATTTAAAAATGGGCAGAGTATCTAATAGACATTTTTCCAAAGAAGACATACAGGTGGCCAACAAACACATGAAAAGATGCCTAACATCACTAATCGTCAGGAAAAAGCAAATCAAAACTACAAGATATCACATCACAACTGTCAGAATGGCTGTTATCAAAAAGCCAAGACATAAGTGTTGACAAGGATGTAGAGAAAAGGGAATCCTCGTGCACTATTGGTGGGAACGTAAATGGGTATGGCCACTATGGAGAACAGTATGGAGGTTCCTTAAAAAAATTAGAACTACTGTATGATCCAGAAATCCCACTTCTGAATATTTATCTGAAGAAAACAAAACACCCCAAATACTTATTTTCTACTCTTCTGTGGAGCTTGTAGAATTGTAAGAAAATTAAATTTGACTCTATTGAGTGAAAGTGGCAAGAAGTGCTTCAGAAATAGTCAGAACTTGGAAAATAGGTGGGCCTTCTGTGTCATGCTAAAGCCCTAGGTCTTTATTCTGAAGGGAATCAAACTACTGAAAGACGTTTAAGCAGGAGAGTAACGGGGTGGGCCTGCATTTTTACAATGCGGCGTGAAACGTGGATTAGAGGATGGGAAAGCTGATGCCAAAGAGACCAGTTATGAGTCTACCCAGAAATCCAGGCAAGACATAATGGATTCCTAATGAGAACAGGGGAAAAGAGGGATGGTTTCAGAGACATAAAGGGGGTAGAAAGGATATAGGGATGAAACTAAGGATCACTCTCAGAGTTTCCCTGGCTTTTGGGGGGAGAAATAGGCTTCCTGGGAAGGGTTGAGATGTTTAATTCTTAGACAAGACAGCTATGGGAAGGACAGGTAGATATGTCCAGGAGCTAAATAAGTGGGTTTTTTCATAGGAGAGAGATTCGGTTGATAATCTAGCATCCCTCTTGCTTTATCTCAGGTAAGCTTTTCATTAGGAGTTTCTGATAGTTTCTTCTGTTTTTACTGTTTCCCATGTTTCCCTTGGGCAGGGGTGACAGACATATTTCACTTGCCCTGATAACTCTGACTGATTGGTATGGTCTCTCTGGGGTTCCATGTTGGCCTTATCTGGGATAAAGACTGCTGTGATTGATTGGGGATGTCTGCTTTTGGCATGGTATTGGAAGCGGTAACAAAAGTGCCATACTTCCCCTTCTCTATCCTGAAGTTTCTTCTGAGGAGGGGCAGAATAAGAACAATAATATTGTCAGTCTTTTTAAAGGGTATCGTGGCTACTGGAAGCTACTTTAAACACCACAAAAATAAAGTGAAAAATGTGAGATCCAAGTCATAAAACTCTTAAGTTCAAAGTGAAAGAACATCTGATTTCCAGAGGGGAAGACAGGTTAAAGCTTATGATTTTTATCCCTGAAACATGGACCTGGGTTTCCTGTGAAACAGAAGAGTGAAGGATATCTTAGATTCGAAGGATGGTGTGCATTGGGGAAGACAGTCTTTTTAGCTAAATAAAATATTTCAGTCTATCTCCTCTTGGTTCCACATGGACTTACCAGTAATAGAGCAAGAAGCAGAAGTTGGGCAGAGTCACTGTGAACTGCAGCCACCTCCAGTGCGGAAGTACGTATGCCACCCCAGCAAGCACCAGGAGCCCAACCGTAAAGGCCACTTGGTAAAAAATCCCCACTGTTCTCCGGTAGCTCAGCCCAACAAATTCTGTAACTGCAGAGAGAACCCAAATGGTCAATGCAAGTCAGTACAACAGTGAGTTGGCTGTCTAACTATGGGGAAACTAGAATTCCAACTCAAAAAGTAGTCCAAGTTCTAGAATTTTCTATACAGCTCTCTGAAAACTTTTAAATGTTCTTGGGACCTATTTTGTTATGATTACTGCTGTTGTGTTAATTAATGTAAAATCTTATAATCCCATATTACATGGGGTAAACATTGACTTTAGAGCATAGATGATTTTCACGTAAATGAATAGCTCAATATAACTTGCCCTCTTACATGAGTTAAACATTTTCTTGGCAATCCTCTTAATGCGTTTAAATGGCTTGGAAACCTGGTGGTGGGGTTCCAAGCTGACTGGAGTCAGCTAGTACTGGCTTGCAAGAACTGATTTTTAAACTTTCAGGAATTTTGCAAGCTGGTTTTTAACCCATTGGTATCTTAAAAGCAGTCATGGTGGGAGTATTTACAACTTAGAAATTGGAAAACACTATGAATCAGGCTTTTTATTTTCCAGGAGCTGGTGTATGAGCATAACACTGCACATGGTATAGTAATCAGCCTTATCCAATCCCATGACTACAGCATGGCAGAAGTATGAAGTCTGTGATACATGGATTTAAGAAATAGTCATTTTTATATTACAGACATTCTAGAATTGAGATTCTAGATATTCCGTGAACCAGAGTTTTGCTTTAAATGTTTGGTAATCATGTGAAAGACTTCAACTATTTGTAAACCAAATAGAAATGCACTCTAAAATTATTTCTATAAATCACTGTGAATTATCCAAAAGCATTTTAAAAAGACAGACAAAATTATGTACATGCTTAATAAATAGAAATGTCTGTCTTTCAAAGTGCTTGGGGTCATGGATGAAGTCTTGGGGTAGCAGGTAGGAAGAGGGTGAATGACAGGTGCATCTTAAGGACATCCGGAGGGACTGGAGAAGAAATTAATGGGAGGATGAAATTTAAATTCAAATTTCTACATGTCACGTGTATGAGAAACCAAATTTCTCATCGAATAACTGCGTACATTAACTCCTTTGTTGCCCAGACATAGATCAGGTGACGACCATGACAGGCACCTGAGAGTGTTAGGCACCATCTCCTCTTCATCTCATAGAATCCCCCAAATTAACTTTACTGGGTCAGATTTTAAGCACGCATATTCTAGTTCTCCTGTGCGAAATGAAAGATTGATTAATATGATTTTAATTTCAGTGTCCACTTCCCTTTGTGTGGATGCTATTTGAATGTAGCAGAAGGGCAAGCAATGATGGAGTGCATTCCCAAGATCTAATTATGGTGGTAATTCTCCTTAATATTAATTTACAGATGCTCTGCTGTTATAATTCAAATATTCTCTTATAATCCATGGAGCTTAAGCATAACCCTGGTTCCTAATGAGTAGGATGTAAATGATATCCCTGGTCCTACAAATGGCTCTCGCTGAGGAATCGAGATTGACCACAGTACTTTTATCCTTGGTTTCCTCGCAAATACATTGAGGATAACTGTGGTTTGCTAGAATGGATGTACTCAAACTGATAAAGCCCCTTATATATCTAATATATTCTCATCAATGAATTTTCTCTCTGTAAAGCCTGGTAGGCTAGATTTCCTCTCTATGGTACCCCCCAGGGCACAGAAAACAAAAATTCCTGAAGTTATATAAGAGTTTGGATGGCACAATGTTTACTCTCATTCCTGC